CGTTCAGCACATACATAATTGGTGATGTATGTTGGGGACGGGGATAGTTATGGGGTAAATCTTTCTCTTTTTGTCCATTTTATAAATGAAATTTGTAATGGCCAGGATTCATTCAAATTGTTTCTTTTATTGATTATGATAAATATACCGCACTCAGAACTAGAATTTATAGCTCACACTTCATAAGCAAAAAAACACTTACCTATACATAGCACAGATCACCCTGGCTCATCCCTGACATACTGGGTTTTGGCACCTATATTTCTTTCTTTTTGACAGTATTACAGTGCATATTTAGACACCAGCTCCAGAAGCAGCTTCTCACTTTCTGATTATGTTCCTGTCCAGTAAAATTTTTTTTGGAACAAGACGCTTAAATTGTTCAAAAAATCTGAACACAAACTGAATCAAATAGCCATAGCCTTCCTGCTAAACTCAGGAAATCATTTTGTCTTGAAAGGTAACAGCTCTATCCATTAACATTTTGAAAGGTTTCCTAGAGACAACATGAAACTACAACCTAAGTCATGCATTTGTTCTGTAATGCTCTGGTTCAAAGTGCAAACAAATAGTTTGGGGTGTGGTATTCTTGCTGTTCATAGCAACTTTTTTAATCACTACCTCTTGCTTTAGAGTAGGCAAGCTGCCTGTTAAGGCTCGTTTATTGGTCTTTTTCATTTCACAGCTAATTTCACACTGATACCACCTCATAGCCACAAAAAGCCATTCCAGTCAGACTTTAGAGAGGTGAAATTCCCAGCAAGCCAGTTAAGCTAAAACTGTCCCATGAACTTGCCTACAGCACCTCCCAATAGGTCCAAGATAGCATACATCATTTTCCTAAAATCAGGCAATTTCTAGCAGTAACTGGAAAGATCTTGCATGATCTTTCTGATACTAATTCATTTTATTCATAACCAACTAATTCCATTACCTTAAAGATGTTCAGTTTTCAATTTCTCCATGATACTCACTTCCAAATGAAGCAGTACCCTCATACAGTATTATCTCCCTCTCCTTCATCAAGGCATGGAGCATCTCCTCTATGGCATGATTCATGTCTGATGCCTATGAGGAAAACCTGAAGAAACTACTTCCTGGAATCAATTTTTAAATATGCAATATTGAATCAGAAAGACCATGGAACAATGTTGTAATTTTCCTCATTCAAACAATGAACAAAAGGATATACAATGACTACAGTGGAAGGTTCATATTTATGGCCCATGGTGACTCAGCCTGGATAATCCATGAATGTACAGCTTAGGAATTGTTGAGACCTTAGTGAATCCTTAGTGATTACTACAGAAGCTGCTGTACATTTTTCCTAAACTTCTTGTTACCAAAATGAGCGAGGAGTGCCTTTCATGACTGTGTATTCATGATTAACAAATATTAGTAGATATCTGTACACTGGGCCCATGTCAAGCAAAGGAGTACCTCAAGAAGCTGATATTTCTGCAAGTTGTCTTCAGGAGGGATGGGGTTGTCCCGGTTACTTTCTTCTTCAATGCAAGTGAAACACTTTAAAGACATATTGACGAAGTTAGGCACACATAAAAGGTATTTGGAGTCAGAAAGAAGAAAAGCAGTTGTAAGTATAAATCAAAGGGACTCCACCAACTTTACAGGAAAACAAAACTGGAGAAGAAACAAACATGAGAAATGTTGTGGAGAAACTGAGCCCAGAAAATGGACACTGAAAAGATCCTGACCCATGTATTGCTCAAAAGTGGTCAGGAAAGGATGATGAGGTAAAGATTGTCTGGTTTGAGTTTAATGCCTTTTTCTTTTCTTTCCACACACATCTGTGACTATCTTATTCTGCTCGAAGTGATGTTTTACAGTTACAAATCGTCTATCTGTAGGCCTTGACTACATGCCTATGGAAAATTTAATTTTGAATTAAAGTAACAACCAGGTATGAGCTACGAAAAGGATAAGATTAAACTGGTGGGCAGCTTCAACACAGAATTCTAGTATAAAAATCTTCATTATAAAAAAAAAAAAAGAGGTTCAGAAGAGGTCATTCACTAGAATGAATTGCATTATATACAAGAAAAAGTGCATGACCAAATGATTTTAACTAGTCCTTGATACATGGGAGACGCAGTCATTTTATAAATCTTGCTGTTTGGCTGTGTGGTGCCTGATTTTCAACATGCAGTAAAAATTCTAAAATGCATAGACATAAACTTCCAGAAAGATACATATGAAAGAATACAAATTTTAAAGTGTAATAACACACAATAAATTATTTTATTTTATTTTATTTTATTTTATTTTATTTTATTTTATTTATTTTATTATTTTATTTTATTTTATTTTATTTTATTATTTTATTTTATTATTTTATTTTATTTTATTTTATTTTATTTTATTTTATTTTATTATTTTATTTATTATTTTATTTTATTTTATTTTATTTTATTTTATTTTATTTTATTTTATTTTATTTTATTATTTTATTTTATTTTATTCTTGTCCTTCTCCCTCACTGACATTCTCTTAATCAATTAGTTAATCTTCCTTAGCTATTTTCCTGAGCATCTACTAGATGGCATCCTGCAGGATTTGGAAAAAATCTGAAGGTTGATGAACTAAGTTTAGCTCTGTTCCATTTACTTTTGCTCATATGAATCTTTCTTTGTGTCTCTCACTAAGCACTGTAAGTGTTCCAAGGCTGTTTAACAAAGCTAAGCTTCATTTAGCATATACACAATGAAGGCACATTTGTATCCTTTCAGTTTTTTTTTTTTTTCCAGAAAGTTGATGCCACTTAATGGTGGGTGAGTATAATAATATCTGTCTCTGGATGGATTTAACATCAAAACGTGTAAAGTAGCATGAACATCTGATTAACATATGGAAATATTTTTTAAATAAGGCTTTCTTTTCAAGTGCTGAAAGTTTCACAGTCTTTATACTGTTTTATGATGCTGCGGTAGCAATTCCATAGTTATAGCTATAATCTGCTTTCACATTTGATTTTTAAAACTCCAAACCTTCTATATCTCAGTTTTGAGAAACAAAAGTATTGACTATGACATTTTTCATGTGTGGTCTTTAACAAGAGATGGAATGTACTTATGGGAAATAATGTGATACAGGAAAATATGAAATTTTGCATATTCAACTTTTCTTTTGAAAAAGCTTCCAAACCTAAGATAATGAACACAGACTGCTGTTTGCATATGTATAGAACACTGGATCATATAGCACAGTAGTATGCCACTATTAAGAAAAATATGGAAAAAGGGTCATGCTCTGATATAAATATTAAAATTTTATGATTATACTTATCAAAACCTTAACACAGAATATCCAGGTGAAAAAAAAAAAAAAAAAAAAGAGTTTATAGAATTTTTAATAAATATGTTCTTATTTTTAGCCTGGCACTCAGTGCAGGCTAAAACAACAGTTGCACTCAGTGATCCTTGTGGGTCCCTTCTAACTCTGGATATCCTGTGATTCTATGAAAATAATTACCAATAACGCATCCTCTCCCACCTCCCTTCTTTCCAGGCTCAGCTTAACTCACACTTCTTCTACCTCTTCACCCTGAGCAGTGCAGGGAAGTGGGGAATGGAGGTTGCAGTCAGTCAATAATGCTTCATATTTGCCACTTCTTTCTCCAGATACTGTTCCCCTGCTCCAGCATGGGGTAAGCCCAATAAGATGAACTGATGCAACATGAGTCTTCTCATAGCCTGCAGTTCTTCAAGCACTGTTCCCACATGGTCCATCTACGCACATGATCCAAACTGCTCCAGCATGGGTCCCCCATGGGCAGCAGCTCCCCCAGGTCCCCAACTTCTGTGTGGGCTCCTTTCCATGGGCTGCAGCTCCAGCTCGGTGCCTGCTCCTGCAGGGCCTCTCCATGGGCCACAGCCTCCTCCAGGCCACATCCACCTGCTCCACCAGGGGCTCCTCCCCAGGCTGCAGCGTGGAGATCTGCTCCCATGTGGGACCCATGGGCTGCAGGGGGACAGCCTGCTCCACCAGGGGCCTCTCCACAGGCCACAGGGGAACTCCTGCTGCATGCCTGGAGCACCTCCTGCCCTTCTACTGCACTCACCTTGGTGTCTGCAAAGCTGTTTCTCTCATTTTCTCACCTCTCTCAGCTGCTGTGCAGTGCTTTTTACCCTTTCTTAACTGTGTTCACAGAGGTGCAACCAGGGTCCCTCACTGTCTTAGTTCTGGCCAATGGTAGGACTCTTCTGGAACTGTCTGGAACTGGCTCTTATCTAACATGGGGCAGCCACTGGACAATTCACAGAGGCCACCCTTGCAGCCCCCTTCCTGCTAGCAAAACCTTCCTACGTAAGCAAATGCTTCTAATAAGCTACAACTTCTTGCAGGGTTTGGAAATTCCAGAGAGAAGATGACCAAATAATTAGCCACAGTGATGTTAATGAAATGTTTCACACACAGCTGCTGGGGCCACAAGCATATGCAGAAATTCACAATTTTTCCAAAAAAAAAAATGTTTCAGAAACAATGATTATGTATCTCTTATACTCTGTACAATAAACAAGCTCAGAACTTAATGAAACCATCATATTTGAAATGGCCTGGGTTACACAATAGTTTACGATGACAGAATGATACATGTGATAGGGAAATGAGGCTGAGAGGAGTTCTTCTTTTTGATTTTTTTCTGTCCAAAAAGCTGTAATGGAAAAAAGTGGACAGAGTGGCACAAAGCTACAGTGGTGAGTGGTGCTTCTTATAGATTTATCTATGTGTTGTTATGTGTTGTTTCTTTTGTTTGTTTGTTTTTGTTTTTGTTTTAAACACATTTTCTTCTGAAAACCCTGAATTTAAGTTGCTGGAGATTGCAAGTACCCAATGGATAAGATTCCTACCAGGTATACTCCAAATGAAGTTACATTTTTATTGTTATTGTAATGGCTTTACAATTTCTACAAATCAGTAATGGTCAATAAATATTGGTGTTTGGAATCCACTGATCCCATGGCCCTCTCCTTACCTTGTAGTCACAGGATTACCCCAGGTTGCAGTGAGCAGAGGTCTGGAGTGGGGTGGCATCTATGCAGGTCTACACGATGCATGCTGCAGGTATGTACTGCTCAGCTCTTCCCCAGCCCTTTGTTCTCTCCATACTTCTTATATCCACCTTCATGTGTTCTCATGTTTTCTCATGCCCCTCATGTTTTCTCTTTCTTTCTCCTTTAGTTCCTTCATCCTTTTCAGCTGTGTTATGTACCTGAATGAACAGTTGGTTGAGATGATTAGAAGAACGGGTGAGAGGGGAACATGAAAGCTAGGGAGAGGAAAATTATTACTTCTCAGTGTGTAACATTTATTAGTATGTGTAACTCATAATAGTGTTCTGTTGTTATTCCCAAATTTCTGAAGCTTGCACCACTGCTCTCAAGGTGTTCCCAGCTTTCCAAATACATGTGAGCCTTGCATTTGAATGGTTTGTGGCAAATTTGCTTTTTTACAATGTTCTCCTTTTAAGAGCAAATGAGAAGAAGCAGCTCAGATTACTTCAAACTGATATTTATTTATTTATTCATTCATTCATTCTGAAGACTGAGTTACAGGGCTTTGAGTACCTACCATCTAGAACTGTTGCAGGGAAAAAGTGTTTTCAGAGACTTCTGAATCGACTGGTATTCACAGTACAGGGAGTTCTGAATCAACTGGTATTCACAGTACAGCAGTGAATGTTTCAAATAAGTGCTTTGGGTTAGTCACCTACCACACCACAAAATCCTTTTATTTGATATAATATAAAAAACAGAAGCAAAAACAACAAGGAAAGGATGTTAATAGTGATACAGGCTGAGAGAAATGTTTTTGTTATTACAGGACTGGAGGTAGATTTGGATACTGGCATCCTGTCTGGAAGCTTGTGCTGTCAACTGGCTAACTGGCTAACTGAATTCAGAGTAGAATAGGTAAGTACATATACTGTGGTCGACCTTTATGCAAAAATACCTAAGAAGACATGGGGTCAAACTGTGAACTGAAATTGAGTACAAGTTAACAATAATAAAAACACTACGGTAGCAAATTAAATATCTTGAAGAAAACAGACATTCTATATTTTAAAAAATTATTTCAGGTTAATTTAAAAGTGCATTTATGGAAAGGAACCTTACTGTGGCATTTGTTCACAATAATTTTAGTAGTGAAGCTATAAGCATTCCGTAACAATTATATAGGAATTACTCATGGTATTTAATGTCTACTTCCTTGTATACATTTTCTCTTTCTTTCTTTCTTTCTTTCTTTCTTTCTTTCTTTCTTTCTTTCTTTCTTTCTTTCTTTCTTTCTTTCTTTCTTTCTTTCTTTTTCTTTCTTTCTTTCTTTCTTTCTTTCTTTCTTTCTTTCTTTCTTTCTTTCTTTCTTTCTTTCTTTCTTTTCTTTCTTTTTCTTTCTTTCTTTTTCTTTTCTTTCTTTCTTTCTTTCTTTCTTTCTTTCTTTCTTTCTTTCTTTCTTTCTTTCTTTCTTTCTTTCTTTTTCTTTCTTTTTCTTTCTTTCTTTTTCTTTCTTTCTTTCTTTCTTTCTTTCTTTCTTTCTTTCTTTCTTTCTTTCTTTCTTTCTTTTCAGTTTGTGTAAAATAAGATAAATATCAGGGATTGCTCTACAAGCTTTTGTAAATATTAAGGGTGTATTTAACATTTAAATTCTTCATGTAGACAATGAAATCCTGCTTATTTTAGAGAACTTTCTAAAGATGGAATAAATTGCCCTCTGGAAGTATCTCTGTCTCTTCAGATTGACTGAGGAGACAAGAGAGCTAAAGTGCATTTCACCATGGATGAATCAATAATTGATCTGTTATGAGGCAACAGATGTAAGCTCCAACCCTATAATGAACTCCACACATGGAGTGGAGGTGGAACACATGGCAGCCTAGATCTATTAAAGATACTGTTATGAGTCTAATGGCATATTAGGATTGTTTTAGTTAAACTTCAAGGAACCTGTTCGAACTTTTCTTCTTTACCCAATATTGTCTGTTACTGAATTGTAATAGCAATAGGCAGGATGTTGCAATGTGTGTGTTTTATAGCCCAGCAAGTGTGCATTGGGGGGGGCACCAGACTCTATTGCTCATGGTTGATAGAACAAGGTAATTGTTCTTTCAGATTGTATATGCAAGTGTAAGAGATACAATGATATTGCTTCTTCTTGTCTGAAAACTGAAGTATTAGAATTTATAACCTCTGATTTATATTACAGTAGTAGGTCAATGAACTGTTTCTGTAGAAGTTGACTGCACTAAATGGGGTAATCTCTAGGACAGCAGTTTTTCATATCTTTGTGATATCTTCAGAATGCTTGGTGAAAGATTAATGTGGCACAAAAACTAATGAAGGCTCCTAATTCTGTCTCAGAAACTAAATGTAAAACTTAAGTTTGTGTTACATGAAAATTGTTAGGAAGACAATGTTCTTAAAGCTGGGCTTAAGCGGGCCTGTTTGATTGTTTACCATGGAAACTGTAAATTATTAATCTTACAGGTTTTATGGCTCTTCTTTACCTGTGATATAAGCTTATTTTTTTTTTTTCAAAGAGATTTAAACCTGTCCCATCATCCCCATTACCTCTTCTGCTTTGTCTTGTTTCCTCTGGTATATGCAACCACAGCTGTCAGCATTATGTTGGTTAGCTTGCTTCCTTGATTGTGAATGTTCCTTTTATACTAGCACACTGCCTGCCTCAGTCTCTTATAAAATGACGGAATATAGCAAATGATTGTCCCCTTCAGGTAAATTTCAGGGTCTGTCAATTTTAATACACAGTGTTATGTTGTAGTTGTAAATCATATCAGAAGGAATTAGTATCGAGTCACACTTCATTCTCTGTGGTTTTTGTCCATATACTGTATTTCCATTTTTTTCTAGTCCAGAATTGTTATGTCACATCTTCTTTGCCCTTGTCTACCTCTCTTACCACTCAAAGATTAGAATATTTTCTTTCTTTCTTTTTCTTTCTTTTCTTTCTTTCTTTCTTTCTTTCTTTCTTTCTTTCTTTCTTTCTTGGTATACTGCCACATATTTTAAGAATCCCAGACATTGTGTAGCAAAACCCCCAGAATTTGCACGGTTTCTGTGTTTCACTTCAAACAGTCAGTCACCAGTGGGTTAAGTACCAAAAGAAGCTGCCTATGGGTTCACACAGCTTGTGGGTAAGTGATAAGAAAAGCATGTTGTGGCTACATAGAGAAATAAATACTCAGAGGTGTGCAGTGAAATGCTGGAAACCTCCCTTATGTTTGGCAAGCACAACTTCTATTCAGCAGTGTTCATGTACACAGACATGCCAACGCCCAGTGAATATCTCAAATCCACACCAAGTTTTCACAGATGTCATGTTTTCATTCAGGTAAAAACTCTTGTTGACCAAAGAGACTTGGTTATTCAGTTCTCTACAGAGATTAACATACAGTCATTGAATGTATTTCCAATTTCAATTCCTTTTTTGAGAGAGGGATAGAAAAAGCAGCAAAGCAAGAAAGAAAATTCACAACTCTCTGTGAAGAGCACAGGTTTTAAAGCTTAAGTACCTTTTGAAAACTAACATCAAATTACACAGTATAATTTGTGACATTTATTAATTATTTTGATTTTAAAACGTTACTAATTAAGAGAAAAACTGTCATGTTCTTTATAAAGTGGAATAGTTTAAAAACTTTTTGACTTTTGTAGGTTTTGTAAAATTCTCAAATAAATTTACTCCAAAAATAGGGGTCTAATTAGCTTAAGGGCTCTAGAGTAATTTAAAATATCATTGGAAAACCATTGAAACATTTTTTAATATATTCTTCTTTTACACATAAAGCAAATGTGAAACCAACATGTTAACCTGTTAATCTCAGATATATTATTTGAATAAGAAGCACCTCTTGCATCTCCGTTTGCTTGTTTTCACACTTAAAAATCGACAAATGTTTACCTTAATTTTGCCATAAAACTGTATGGTATTTCTTAAGTGAAACCATCAATAAATGAAAATTTTAGTTATTGGTATGTATAAAAAAATTAACGTGCATTTACTGTCAAGGGTAATTAGAGTTTGAAAAAAAAAATCCAGGGCAAGTTGTCCCCATTCTAAAGCTATTGTACTACAAAAGAAGTTACAAATCAACTACTTTGTCTTTTTATAGCTAGCTAAAACTAACGACTTTAAACTAAACAAGTAAGTTCTGGGAAGTCTTTTATGATTAATAGAAGAATCCATCCATCATTTAGAACTCCAATTGTTCCACTTATTAGATTTGAAAGAAACTATCAGCATTAATATTTTTTTCCAGGCTGGAATCTTGTGCTGAATATAATTTCAACAGCTTTGCAACCACTTTCTCATTTGTTATGGAGTTATATGTTGTGTAATTAAAATGTCCTTTTTTTTTTGGGGGGGGGGGGGAGCACAACACTTAAGTGATATACATTAGAAAAACTTTTTAGAATTATTTCAATATCATTTTGCTCAATTATGTAGAATTAGGTGAATTGAAGAGCTTACATTTCTGACAAAGAAAAGGCATTAGCTTGAAGACTAGGGAACTTAGGTCACACACTTCACAATCTAGATCCTGAAGACAATCTTATTTGCTATCACTACTGTTACAGGTTCCAGCATAGATGAAAACATTCCTTTTACTTTAAAGTGAAAATGAATTTTCTTTCCCCCCAAAAAAAAACTTTTCTTCTGATGACATGCAAAAGTTTCCTGTCTCCATAAATGCGTAATAATACTGGACATACCCAGATAAAATAGTGCCGAGGTAAGAGACAACATACATGTATGCATGTCAAATTTAGCATTTTGTAGCCTCAAGTCTGAAGTCTTAGCAGCCTGATCAGAGCAACCCAGAAAACAAGTTTGTCAAGTCATTTCTAGCTCCTCCTTAAATGCTGCACCCAAATTAAGATGTCAATAGAGAGAACTTCAGCACTTACTGACGGATCTATTAGTCCAGGAAGGGCTATATCCATATAGAATTGGATTAAAGGGGCTTTCCCCAGATAGTTTAAGAACCACTATTAAGAACGTGAAATGCAGATGCAGGTGAACTGAAATACATTTGGTCAAAAACCAGCTTTGATTTCTTAGTGAGATTTTCTAGGGCTGTGAATACCAGGAAAGCTACCTTATTCTAATGACAGAAAGTTCTCTCACTTATAAAAGCAGTATTTCAGGGCAGAGGTATGCAGAGCCTATTTCAGGGCTGATCTAACTGCACTACCACAGGAACTAGGTAGTGCGATGCAGGGACTTTTTTAGGCTGTTCAGAAGCCTAGTTTCCAAAGAGAATAGAAAATCTAAGTAAAGTTTGTCTTCACAGTTTGTATTAGTGTGACCCTCTAAAATGTGAAGTTGATCAGTGGGTCACAAACACAATTGCTCAATGTTTATTATATGCTCAGTTAGCTGCACTTTCTTATTGCAAAAACATGCCATGTGATCAGAAAGAAGATGCAAAATAATGAATCAGAGACACTTGTTTACATTGACAGGTAGGTTGGGGCTAGTTACTCACAAGAGAAAAGATGACCATAGCTTGTAGAGATCTGTGACTCTTCTGTACCTAGCCACTAAAAATGGCTATGGTTCTAAAATCCATTCCAAATAAAATCCTAAAAATTCTTGTTGAAAAAAAAAAAAGAAAAATCCCCTTTGAAGCATATCTCATGGCCTCAAAGATCTAGACAGAAATGCAAATTGTTCCTAGAGATGAAATTCTGATCTCACAGGCATCAAGGAAGAGTCAGCTAGCCAGAGTGCTAGTTTCAGGAGTTGAGGCAATTTAAATTCAGAGTTTCAAAGCCTAAGACAATGAGCCAGAAAGGATCTATACAAAGCTTAGGGTTTGAAACAGATTGGATGCTTTCAAGACCTGGCTGGCATGGAAGCATGAAGCATTTATTCAGTTATTTATCCAAGT